TGGGAATGCAGCTGCGGGGCTCTGGTCGGGGCCCCGACTACAGTGGCATATCAACTGCCTCGAGTTGCAAGCAGTATGGCTGGCTCTGCGCCGCTTCAAATCGCTGCTACATGACAAGCACGTACTGGTCCGTACGGACAGCACTGCGACTGTTGCGTACATCAACCACCAGGGCGGTCTACGCTCCCGTCGCATGACTCAACTCGCCCGCCATCTCCTCCTCTGGAGTCAGAAGTTCTAGGTGGGCTACCTCCAGCGGTAGTAAACACCATCGCTTCAGCTAGAGCCCCGTCTACCAGACACGCTTACAGGCTGAAGTAACAGAGTTTATACATTGATGAAAGCCTGACTCTCTTGGTCAGTGTTACACTTATGAAAAACAGTAGCATATACTTTAGCATTTACTTTTAGGATATACTTAAGTGCAAACTGAATGTAATGTTTTTGTATGCTTAACTGCATGTTTTTTTTTCAATTACATTTTCTTTAAATTTATATTTATAAGTGTATTTATATTAAATTTATATTAACATTTAAAACACATTTTAACATTCAATACGCATTAATTGTAACTTAGGTTATATTTTTGTTTACACATGGTTCAAATATGTTTTTTGTTTACACATGATTCGAATCTGCAAATACTACAGTTAAACTACGGAAACTTTAGTAAAACTATGGTTCATTTTCATAAGGGACTGCCAGTGACAGGCTATTGCACGCATAAAATGCAACCTTTTTTGACAGTGTATGATTTATATTAACATTACAGAATAGAACATGATCAATATTATCTTTCAACGTTCAAATTCAATAAATGTAATTGCACAAACTATGTAGGCTAATTTCAATTTGTTTATTGTGAAATAACTCAAACATATATGTTTTGTTTCTTCTGTCCTCTGATAAGCATTGTTCAGGGCTGCCCTTCCCAAAAGCTTTAATGCTTTCTTATGATACTTTTGGAAAATGCAGCCCTGTTTGAATGCACCGTCAGCAGTGAGTGAACGCTGGTTGGTTCTGTCTTGCAACATTTGCGTGTGTTCAGATGAGCAGGAAAATAGTTATATCCTACACAATAATTTACTAGCATAGGTTATTCGTCCAATTAAATGCATAATTTTTTTGTTAAATAAACAAAATCACTGGTAAATAAAACACACCTTAGTATCGATATTTATTGTTTGAGTATCGATACTTTCGATACTCACATCAGTATCGATACTTTCGATACTCGCATCAGTATCGATATATCGATACTTCGGTTCGATACGCCCATCCCTATTTTGTATCCATCTCCTAACTTGTGCCTGTCCACAACTTTATCCCGGAGATCTTTTGACAGTGCCTTGCCACCCATAAGTTGACTGTTTGCTTCAGTTGCACTACCAAGGACTGAAATGCTCCAGGAAATCTCTTTTCATGCTGAGCTGATCAAAATGACCTCAGCTGATCACAGTTGAAAGTCAAATAGTTTTGTGTGCCATTGAGAAGGTGATTAGCTACACCTGATTGAGTTTACAAGTCATTTTTAGGAGGTGGCTGATCCTTTTTCCAACTCAGTGATTCTGTTTATTTATTTATTTGTATAAATGTTTTTCTGATATGGTAGTGTTATATCTTTCACTTGGATGTTATTAGTTGCACAGTGTACAGCTGGATAAAACCAAAACTGTGTCCGTCTTCATTTCAGGCTGCAAAGCAACAAAATGTGATTATTTTAAAGGGGGGGGGGGATTCTTTTCTACACCCACTGTAGAAAGTGTTTGAGTGTGTTTAACAGTCCCTGTGTCTACTGTGTTCTTTAGCTGTGACAGGCCAAAGGCTTTATCTGTGAGTTCTGTCATGGGGAGGAAGTGCTTTTCCCTTTTCAGAGAGACACCTGCAGCCACTGCCTAGGTCAGACATCAACATACTACAAGTATTATCAACACATTTTGTTAATAATTATGCTCAAAGGCTTGAGACATTTAAAAGCAATGTTTTTGTCCACCTTGGGTTATAGTGCTTAATCATTTAGTAGTAAGATGAGAACTCAATGAGAGTAAAAGCTGATATAAGGCCATTCCTGTAGTTCATAAAATGACAGTTGCCTTGTACTTTTGATTTTTTAGACTGCAGAGCCTGTTTCCACATCTCATGCTTCTGTGATGAATCCTGTCCCAAATGTGCCAGAAACGAAAGAAACTCCAGCAAGACATCAATTTATGAAATCTCCTACATGTCCCTCGCTGCATTTTAAAGCGACATAAAAAGTATAATATTAGTATAAATAATTCAGGTGTTCAGAGCTCTCGAACTGTTCTTAGTTTACTGACATGCTTTATATGCTGTCATTTTGTAAAGCATTTGAATGTATTTTTCATATTGTTCGATGTTGTACATTGTATTTCCATTAAGTAACAAGCATTACAATGTGTGAACACAGAGACCTGCCAAACTCTATTATGTTCTTATGTTGAATGGTTACACAGGATTAATTCAGGTGTCAGAAAATGTGATCACTCACATTTGAAAACACACAGCTGAAATTTGAACATTAAAATCCCTGACAATACAAAATGTTCTCACAAAAGACCCTTTTAGCTGATACCAATTTAGTCAAATTTCATTCTGTAATTGGGTGCTTGTAAAATATGGGCACTTTTGTTCTTGTGGACGTTTAGAAAATAACCTTTCCTAAAAACATCACTTTTCACGCTCTTTTGTCAATTTCATTTGATTATTTTTTTGAAAGTCATGAACACTCTCCACCACAGGGTCTTTTCCACCACATCTCAAATGTATTTAATAGCATTCTGTGGTCGAATTGACATTTTATATGATTTCATATTTATAAAAAAAGTATTGTTTTTATTTAATATTTGATTTATTATTATTTAATAATTATATTTGTTTTAGGATTTAAAACTGGTTTAAGATTTCAAGTTTCAAGAGTCAAGGGTAAAACAATAAAACACAGGCATTTAAATAGAAAACAAGTGTTCTATTTAAATTTGTTGAAAGGGGAAAAAAAAACCTCTGGAACCTAGGAATGCCCAAAAAGAAAGAAAAATCCTAATGTTTAAAGGATTACTGTAAAAGAGCTGTCAGAAGTGGGATTCGAACCCACGCCTCCATTCGGAGACCAGAAAGCCCGCTTCACAGGAAGGTTTGAACCTTGAGTCTGGCGCCTTAGACCGCTCGGCCATCCTGACATGCGTTTACCGCTGCACTGAAGCCTTTCTGTACATTTCTCCTTAATCTTTCGTGACTGCTTCTCTTACTCGCATTAAAACTGCTGCTTTATTCAAATATGCACGCATAAATCTCGTTTAAAGCAGAATTGCCTATTTCAAATGTTTTAGCTGTTAAGAAACGAACGGAATGTTGCACTTGTTTATAAACAGACGTGCATGATGCCGGAGCGCTAACGACGTTAGCATTAGGCTATTCATACAGCAGAACACAAGTGCAGTGTTGCCAACTTAGCAACTTTTCAGACTACCCTAGCAACTTTTTCTTCCAAAAGCACCTAGCAGCAAATTTAGCTATTTTTTTTAATTTATTTGGCAACATTTAGCAACTTTTGATAAGTGACTCGAACGAT